GAGAATTCCTTTTGGGAAGCAAGGCTAGGTGAATTACATTTGGAATGTAAGGCCCACTCATCTGATTTGGGAAAATCCAATCACTATTCCTTTACTCTCTTCAACGAAATAGGGTGAATAAATTTCTTATAGCATGGCTCTCGTTCTTTACTCCTTTTTTTCATATTTTACTTCCATTTTTTATTTTGCTTTCACCCAATGCTATTAGCATTTTCAGTACAGCTAAATTGAGGTTAAGAAACTAAGGATACGCCTTTAAGTATATCACTAATTTTGCCATTGTCTTTCAGAATTTCCTGGAGTTTAGATATACATTAAAGGCAGAGTATTGGGCAGGTTAAGGCTTGCTAGTTCCATTATAATAGAGAAACTTGTCAGAATCTTCAGCTGCAGCACTTCAATCGAAATTTTTCTAAAATATTAAGTACCAATATTGCATCTACATGCCCTCAAATTTTGCTTTAATTGTATCGAGAATAATTTGCTCATAATTTCTGAAGGGAGCCGAAAATTGAGTATGGTTAGTATTCACTTACTTTAACTACGTTTTAAAATTAGACTAGAAGGGATTCGAAAATTGTATGCTTTCAAACCAACATTAACTAATGTGGCAAAGTGAGTAATTTAAGTATTGCTATTTGTATATCCCAAAATGGCAACATTAAATTTCACCTAGCCCTGGATCAAAAAAGCTTATCTTTTTCAGACTCGAGCACACTTTCGACCTCATATAGGCTTCTTCAGCATTCGCGACGGGACTCGAAACTGCATTGTGTGCATACACTGGCGACATTTTACTACTCCGACACAGCCAAATGCGGATGCTGATTTGTCATAGGGCATGTTATGATTCATACTTTTAGAAAGTTCTTGATGAAGCAAACGGGTATTTTCCACTACTGTTGTCTATACATTACTATTTACCAAATAAGTATGTTTCGATACTTTCAGAATATAGTGAAGTTATCTAATCCTTAATCTTAACGAATGTTCTTAGATGAGATCTATCTTGGCATAACCTCACATTTTGAAGGAAAAGGGAGTTGGAAGGAATTCGTGAAGTGGTCTCACCGGAAACCGAATGATGATTTTTGCGTAGGTAAAACTATTGTATTGTGCGAAGAAGTCCTCGGCTCACCATCCTGTGAACCCGATAAGCATATGCTAAGCTTTCGAGTTTACTGTGGCAGAGCAGGACTCCATACTTTACGAAACAGAGTAAAAGTATGTTTGTTTCATCGACCATCTAAACATTCTACTACCACTCCGTCATAAGTTTAAATAAAATTGAGTAAATACCTCTCATTTAATTGATTTATTGGTATTCTCGAAACTCTACTTATATACAAAAATATACTATATTTTCTGAATTAAGTATTGTTTTCGTGACTACCAGTAAATCAGTAATATTTCGTTTAAGGTGATGAAGGACGGGTAGAAGAAGAACTTTCCCACAATTATATGAATTGAGCTGACGTTTACATTGAATTTTCCATAGCCCTGCTTTCCCACATTTACCCTGTGACCCAAAATGCGCTCTTGGCAGTGTAGACGA